GGCCATTATCTATTATAGATATGAAAGGCAGCCTTTGTAATCTTAGGTGATGCACACTGAAAAATTCAGTGTCACATTTTTATTCTTACTTCAAATAGACTGGAAAGGGCTGGGGATTTAGCTTGTGGCCTAAGCACCTGCTTTGCAGGCACGTAGTCATGAGTTCCATCCCCAGCACCAAAAAAAAAACCCAAACCACATAGACTGGAAAACACACATAACTCAAATACAGAAACAAAGTACAGCAGGAAAAAACACTGAACCCAGGTGTGGCAGGCATGTGAATTTTTGAACATTTACATATTATAAGACTGCATAAAAAGAGATGACATTACACATAATATTATACAAGACCACATAACCTTATTTGGGTGATGGCTTTTCAAGGTTTTTTTCAAATTTTCTTTGCATTTGCTGCATCCCTGTCCCCCAACCATTGCCATGCAGCCACTATGTCCCACACCAATGCTCACGCTGTCTGAGATTAGAAATGAGACCAAGCAAAAAGCTGCTGCAGCCAAAGATGGAATAATCCCAAACCCGCTGCCAAAAGCACCTCCCAGCAGCTCGTGCGAACCAGTACACTTACTCTTCTTTAAGTCTCTTCTGAAGCTTCTCCTTTGAAAGTTTACTTTCGCTGGCATTTTTCATCATATCTTTCCGAAATCGGTTGTTCCTCATGTCAACCCTATAAAATACAAAATATGCAGTGAATGATTTTTAGAGTTGTGATAAATTGGTTCTGCCATCGGTAATTTGACAAGGCATTACTGCAACAATACAGGCCAGGATTGGTAAGATGGAACATCACAAGTGCAGAACTTTTTGTCCTTCCTGCAGTGCAGTGTAGCCTTTAGAGAGCTGACAGTCCAGAAAAACCCATCATGACTTATCTAGACATGGACACTATGCCATTCTTCAAAATAAAACTCATAGGGCTGAGGACTTAGCTCAGTAGCACAGTGTCTGCCTGGCAAGCATGTGGTTCTGAGTTCGATTTCCAATACTCACAAAAAAAAAAAAAAGAAAAACTCGTAACACAAATAAATATTTAAAAAAGCAAACCTTAAAATACTACAAAGGAAAAATAAAGGTAAACACAGTAGATCCTCGAGTTACAAAGACCTAACGTAGGAACAACCTGTGTTAAAATCAGAATTTTAGTTTCAACTCACAGTCAGTGTCATGAATTACAGGCCAAGTGCTGGTCACTTGTGCTTCCAGGTGATCTGAGATACAGATCCAACCCTTAAAGAGCTCTGGAAGGAGTGTTACAACATTCATTCCTGCATGGGATTAACTGAGAAATCCCAGGCCAATGCCTCTCTAAGGATACCGAGATCCGCCTGGACAGCAGAGAGATTGAAGGCTGCCTTCAGCTGACTATCTGAGTTACACCAGTCCTCTGGAATGAGGTGCGTTCATTCAAGTCAAGGCTCCACTCCAAGCTGGGGATTTAGCTCAGTAGCACAAGCATCTGCCTTGCAAGCTCATGAGTTTGATCCCCAGTACAGAAAAAAGGGTCCACTGCAAATTAGATCTACCATCTAAAACTTAAAACTATGCACAGAAGGCTGATCTGAAATTTTTAATATGTAAAAAAATTGACATACTAAAATAGTCTCTGATAAAGACAACAAAGGCAACATGAAATATTAAATACTAATGCTTTCTCAATTCAAATTATTTCCCACCATCGAGGTCACAATCTGAAATATATCCGTAAATGAATGAATACATCTAAGAATGGACTGCTGTAATCATCTTTCCAGGGACAGAGAAACTGGCAGATACAGTCTGGCAGTATTATCAACAGCCTCACAATTATTAATGCTCTATACTTCTAATTCTCTCAAATGATTAATGTGAAAACCAAAAAAAAAAAAAAAAAAAAAAACCTCAGTCAGAAAGATGTTTATTTCAGTGTTAATTTATTATAAAGAAAAATGAACCTAACAATTGCTACATAAGTTACGGCTGATTCATCTAGCAGGCTACAGCTATTTAAAACTGGCTATGAAGTGTTTTTTAAGTAGGAAGAAATGCTTGCAACATAACTTACATTAAGTCATCAAAACATTAAGTATGGTGTACATTCTTATACTGTGTGTGTCAGCTTTCTTTCTAAAAACTACTCGGTTTCAGATGCCGTACCAAAAGTTCCCCAGCCTTCTGCACATTTACTACCGTACTTTCTGCTCCCTTTACAAATGAAAACAGGTAGATGCCAAACTTGTCCACAGTGGAAAGTTGCCAATTAAGGAAGCAAGCTGATGTCTAACTTCAGACTCTGCTCAATGGGCTACAGAACCCACACTGAAAAGGAGACAGGGAAGGCAGTGTGACCACCACGCCTGACAGCTCGTCCCTCAGAGAAACACTTAGGAATGTCCTTCTCTTTTCCATGCTTTAACATGTTCCGATCGTCACATGATCAACATATTTGCAAAGAGAGTAATTTAAAAACCTGTGGAGTCATTTTTAAAATACACACAAGGATTCGATTCTGAAAGAAAAGTCAGGCAACTTACATTTCCTCATCTTCGTCTTCTTCATCCACCCAAACGGGCCTCTTCTGAGGGGGAAAATTACCTTTTGCTTCATTTTCCACTTCTGCATCATCCGAGTCTTCATGTACCTGAACCTACAGAAAACAAAGCACTTTCAAGCGCTGAGTCTTTCCTATCCCGTTGGCAGCCTCCCCTCCTCCTAGCTTGACCTCTTTAGACTGACTGCTTTCCTGTTCTTGCCCTCTGATGAAATAACGCGATGGAGTGCTACCACAGCAAAACGCTGAGGCAGAGCAGCAGATGAGAGGAGAGCAGAGCAGAACAGCACAGTGCCCGCTTAACAGACGAGGCAAGAGCAAACAGTCAAGAAAAGTCCAGGCCCCGAAAGAAAACAAGAACAAGAAATGCAGGAGAAATGCCAAGCTATAGGACCCAAGGCAGAGTGGAGTTCAAGAGACCAAGCACAATCACTTAATTCCTTCTCACGCCCCTCTTCTCTATTTTCAATTGTTCTTCCCCCTAATCTCTTAAAATTCTACAACATACTGTCAAATCTCACCCAGATCACAAAAATCCCCTTGAAACAATCTAGCTGGCGCATCCCTATCCAACAAGACAACAGCCCTATGATTTCTACTTGCATTACTACTGAGGAAAATCCAAAGTATTACTACTGAGGAAAATCCAAAGTTCAAGCCCAGTCTGGACAATTCAGTGAGCCCTGTTTCAAAATCCAGAAAATAAGAAAGAGGCCTGGGGAAGTAGCCGGATGCGAGACTCTGGGTTCTTTCCCCAGTGGAGCAGAGGGTTTGGCAATCACCAGATAACTGCTAAATCTGCAGTGATTTAACACTAAGCAGTAACTCTCAGGAAGTTTTTCTTGGCCACCCTATCTAAAATTCCTTTACACACATTTAATTTCTTTTCCCAAATGGCTTCTACTTTGTTTTTTCAGCCCTTGTCACCAGCACACTCAATTCTGATTATCTCCTTGACTCTGTCAGTAACCCTCAAGAGGGCAGTTTTGTCCCTTGCCATTTGTCTTTTCCAGGGTCTAAAACAATGCCTGGGGATTCCTATCCTACAAGAAAACCAGGTAAGACCGAAAAAATTACAATCACGCAGCATGCTGTTGCCAGAAGTGTGTGGCGTCCAAACACCTGCAAGTGTTACACAGACGCATACACGATCATTCTCAAAAGCTGGTTTGCATTGTGATCACGCGCGAGATTGTTTAAAACGCAGATTCTTAAGCATCAGCGAGATGGAACCTTGGAACAACAAAGAGGAATTGCACAGGTGACCCAAAGATCAGGCCGAGTTCGAGCAAGGCACAGCGGAGCCACGCGGCGACAGATGCTAGGCACTGGAGTTCGCGGAACAAAGTGAATCAAACGCCCGCCGGATCCGAGGCGCAGTGGCTCCCCTCGGGGCGGAGAAAGCGCGGTCTCCGCCCTCGCAGCAAGCTCGGGTCCCGCGCCGAGACGGGGTGCGCGCGCGGCCCCTCGGCGCCCGCGTTCCGTTCGGGGCTCCCGCCCACCTGGTCGCTCGCCGCCGCAGGTCGCCCAGGCTCCGCCCCCGCGGCCTCGCCGCCCACCGCGCGCCCCGCCCGAGCGCGCCCGGCCCGCGCGGAGGCCTCCCTCACCCGCGCGCCCCGCAGCCTCCGCAGCAGCGCGTCCTCATCGCCCCCGACGTCCCCAAAGACCAGCTCCTCCAGGCAGCGCTCTACGGCCGGTTTGTCCTCCTCCAGCGTCAAGCGGTTCTGTAGCTGGAGCCGTCTCTCCTCCGCCGTCGCCTCCGCGATTGGAATCGCAGTGGTCGCCGCGCTTGGCCGGGCCGGCGGTGTCCGCTGGGATGAAGGGGAAGCCTTTCGGGGCGGCCTGCCCGTCCGCGCTCTGGATCTCCAGTCCGGCTTCTTTTGGGTCTTCAGGCCCGGCCTCGCGCGAGCTCCCGGATCCGGTTTCGTTCGGCTCCTCCGTTCGGGCCGCATCGTTGGGTTTGAGAAGAAACGCAGCCGCTCACGTGGAGCCTCACTGCGCACGCGCTTGGGAGCCTCGTTCGCCACCGCCACTGAAGCCTCCAGGGGCCGGAAGGAGTCTGCGCAGCTTCTGGCCACGTGACCAAAACTCACGCCGTACGTCACTCCCACTACCCCCGCCGGCCCCTCCCCGTGTGGGAGTTCCTCAGGGAGGGCCAATCTTCCGGGTGTAGGGGGCAGCGGTGTGACTGGAGTGGAAAATTTTCCCAACATAACTTCGCAGCCGCAGTACACCGAAAGGGAGCGCAAGGAAGCCAGACTACAGACGGGGGTAACTGAAGGGAGACTTGTACTCTTCCTTGTGACTTTTTACCCACTCGGCTTCCCCCGAACTCCAATTACGTTTTCCTCCCTTCGTCTTGGTACGGTCCGTAGCGTACGGAGCCTGCAGAGGGTCCCACGCTGGAGGAGAGAGAGGAGGGTATGTAGGGAAGTGGGCCAATCGGGGCGCGGGTCACGGCGCAGGCGCGCTGAGGAGGGAGGGCTATGCTAATGTTGTTGATATCCTGGGGCCACCCGAGTTAAAGGGGGGAAATCCGGGGGCTGCAGCAGCTGCCACCGGTCCGAGCCAAACCGGGGCACCTCTCTAGTCGCCTCAGTCCCGGGGAGAGGTGCCTGCCCCCCGCCCGGGGAGGGGGCGCCGCGGGCTCGGGGAGCACGGACAACCCCTACCCATGAGGCCCTGATGGAAAACACAAAGGATCTGGTGAGACCCGAGCGCGGCAACCGCTTTGTGTGCCAGGCGGGGGTACGCCTGCAGCTCCCTGACCCCAGGAACCCCGCAGCTCCCTGACCCCGCTCTCGGGCCTGCTTCTCCATCTCACGCCCCCTCCGCCTCCGGAACCCCCTCCCCCTACCGGCCGTTAAACGATTCAGGGGTTCCCCTCCCCCCACCCCTCAGCCCTAACTCGTCAGGGTCTTTCGCTACCACCCGCTCGCCTTCCACTCTGTGAAGGGAGAAAGGAAAAAAAACAAAAACATGAAGCAGAAAGTTTTTCTCAGTGTCCCCCCACCCCCGCGCTGGCTGAGGAGAAAGGCTGTATGGAGACTTTTCCTTTTTTAGCCGCCTAGGGTGGGAAAGTGGAGTCACTTCCCTGGGGGTGGGGAGAGGGAGTGGGCAGAGTTGGGGTGCGTTGCGGGACGAGCTGCCCGTCACTTTGGGGGCCAGCGCCGCGAGGCATCTTGCACGTGGAGGTGGAAATATTGAAAGGGGGCGGGGTGGGCACGTGTGGGAGGGAGAGGTGGGAGTGGTGTCGGCAGCGGCTGGGGAAGGGCTTCCGCGACCGTCGCCTTCTCTCTGGTGAAATGAAAACTCCTTACCCTTTCAGAGTCGCAAGAGTCGTTAGAGGTCACCCACCCAAAGCCGCCGTCCCCTCCGCAGCCTCTGACAAGTGGTAGGTAGCCCCGGCCTCTCCTGCACACCCCTCCGAACACCGATCGCTCCCTGCAGCTCAGGAAAGCCCCTGCCGTTTTTGTTTCGTTGTTTTGTTTTATTTTGTTTTGTTTCAGTCGTTTTGTTGCTTGCTCTGCCCTTATTAGACCTGCGCGCGGTCTCATTCACGTCCTGGTTAAATTGCTCTCTTTTTTTCTTTTTTTTTTAACTTCTCAAAATTTTTCTCTCACATCCTCCTCACCCACCCACTGCTCATTGGCCTATATTTTGTGTGCCAGCATAGAACAGCAGGGAAGTGGAGGGCGGCGGGAGGATGTGAAAGATGGTGAAGGCTGGCCAAGAACTTCTGCTAGGTCCCTTTCAGATGTGCCAGCTGCCCTTTCTGAAGATGCTTGGGCCCGTCCTCACGGGAAGCTGGGGAATTGCAAACAGAGATTTGGGGGCTGTTTTCTATTAGCACACCTCTCCAAGGTTGGACATTTCAAGAGCATCCCTGTAGTTCTGTCGCAGAGCACGTTTGCTCGTTGCCTAACTCAGTGTCCCTAAAGGATGCTGAAAGTTGCCTCCCGAGGATTGTACTGAAGCTGTTAGAAGCCTCAGTTGTAGACGGGTCAACAGAACTACTCCCCATCGTTTCAACCTGTGTTCCTCTCACGGCACCCCCCTTCCTGAAAACTAGATTTTTTTTTTTTTTTGACACTGTCTTTTTTTTTTTTTTTTTTTTTTGACAGTTTAGAGTTGCAGTATTTTTATTGCTTCCTATATTATTATGTACCAGTATTTATTACTTGGCATTTCAGTTTCAAATATGCAGTGTTACTCTGTTTTCCTAATGTGCGCCTTCATGTAGTGAGCCGTACTGCCTGTGATAGTTTTCTTGCCATAAGGATCTTGGGGGTACTTATGTCCCTCTTCCTAATATGGTGAAGTGGGAGTACAGACATAATGTAGAAGTAATGCAGCTGGCCTGAAAGCCAGTGAATAAATTTTACCTTAAACTCTCAATCTCCTGTATAAAACGTTGGGCCACAGGCTTTTTTTCTCTCCTCTCCTGTAACTTGTGTGCTTAGGCTGTTATTTTTCTTTGTTTATCTGAACACCAAAGAGTATTTAGAAAGTAGCTGTCTTTTTCTGTACCACCACCCTGAATCACTAGTAGCTTCTATCTATGTAGATCCCTATACTGAAGGCTTGTGGATACCTTGCAAATTATAGCAAAATTTATCTTGAATAAGTATCCTTTTAGTTTCTCATATTAAGTTTTTTTATTAACATGTAACCTTCAAGTAATTTCTCTTAACTCCATAGTCAGTAGAATTTAACATGGAATTGAATGCTAGATTTTGAAAAAATTAGGTTATAAAATTGTGTCTTTACAGTTTTAATTATGTTTTAGTTCCAAATTGTTGTCTTGCTTGCTTTAAGCGTAAATTGTCATGACTTAAGTTGACTGACTTTGGGAAGATGCACATCATAAGCACACTAGACAGGATCAACTGGTTTTATTAAAGAAGACATCACTTTCTTTTTCATGGCTGGTAATAAGTTGACCTAATTACCTAATTCTTCCTAAATAATGCAGATGCCGCCTCTATCTCTTAATTATTTTGGAAATCAAAAATAAAAGTTTATTTTAAATTGTTTTAAAGCATAACACAGTAGTAAGAATAAGAGTTATTTAGTGAAAACAACATTGTCATAATTAGTAAAACTACTGAAAGCCGGCAGTGCTCTGTGATCTGAGTTGCCACATTCTAAAATTAGAGAAGTCACTGTTCTTTGGGTGGATCCTTATTTCTCACTTCTTCATCTTTACATGTTTGCTAGGTAAGATTTTTTGGTGGAGAGTAAGATAATGTCATAAGTCTCAAGGTTTCAAATCTGAGAGGGAAAATTAAAAGGACTTAACACAAGGGTATTTTTAACCGTCCAAGATAATGTTCGATTTTTATATAAAAACAAGATAATTTTAGATCTTACTGGTTTTTAATCCTTTTTTAAAGGATTTTTCCCCCTTGTAAATTTAGAATTTCTCTGGGTTTGCTGGTGTCCTCAAGAAAACATGAAAAAGCAGTAGCGCCATTTGAATAGAACCTGCCTGGGGGCAGGCTGAAGTGACACAGTGACAGTGAAACTGGCAGACGAGGTTGAGGCGGTGGTTCTGCCCTGGACGACACTGTAGCACCCCAAGACAGGATCCTGTCCCTTGGTGTAGTCATCACAGTTCAGCATTTGGGTTAGAATTTACCAGGGTTGTCCAGTGTAGCATCTGTAGTACAGGAATAATCTGTATTTGTGCTCTCCGCTATGGTCGCCCCTCTCCACACGTGGTTAACACAATACAGCATGTGGACGAAATTTTTGTATTGTGTTGTTTTAATCAGTGTCAATTTGAATAGCCACATGTCTACTAAATGGACATGCAGGCACCTAACAATGTTTTCCCCATCACTGGACCCAACTCTTGGGGGGCTCTTGTTAAAAATGCAGGCTCCTCTCCTGGAGTTTGTCATTCATTAGTAAAATTTGGAGATCTCTCCTTTACATGTGCTCCAGAAAATTTGTAACAGTTTGCTTAGGGAAACCCTACTTAAGGAAATTTCTAAGCTCTGTTCTAGTTCGCTGGTTAGTGTCTTAACCAGTTAATGTTTGGTACAGTAGAAGTGAGCATTGGACAAAGTTGCAAACTAGTTAGGTCACCTCCTGACCTGTAATCTTAACAAGTTTCTTTCAGCTTCATTTTCTTCACCTGAAATACAGGGACTCAGCTCTCTCCCTCCTGAGGTATCTGTCTATAAACCTGCACTCAGTAAGCCATTGAATAAATGATAATTAGAATGTTAAGATGTCTTTCCAGAATCCCTCCTTCTCCCTTTGCACTGTAGTATCTAATCCTTACTCCTAATAAAACTAGTCATAAGTAATACTCATTTTTTATTCAGTTATTAAAACCCACTTATTTGACCATAGTCTCCAGTCACGTTACAGGATGAGCCTATTAAGTGTAATACTTTCTGTGTTTCTACTGCTTAGCATTGTGATTTGTATATGTCAATAAATACTAGTTAAATCTTCTGTACTTTTAGACTTTAAAACTTTCATTTGCTAGTTGCAGGTTAATCTCTATGCCAGAGAAATGTCCATCCCCCTCCTGTAGATACACAGTGATGCCTCAGTTCATAAACTTAATTCTTCCCACAATTCTGGTTGCAAATGAATTATAGGCATATATGTACTATAAGTAATTGTGGAAAACATTCTACAACCAAAGTCGTGGAAAAAATTAAGTTCATGAACCATGCACCACCATATATTTTCAACTCAGTTTTGATCAATATTCCAGTTATTGTTTGATGGCAGTATTATTAAAGTACCCAGTTCTGATATAAACCCATGTGTGTATATGGCTTTTTGTTTGTTGGCAGTACTGGAGATACAACTATGGACCTTACTATAAAGCTAGAGTATTTGCCTAGTGTGTGAGAGCCCTGAGTTCAAACCCTAGCACTGGGGAAAAAGGGAATGCCAAAGCATGGCATCATTTTATATCAGTGTATTCAAAGATATAGTAAATCATCATGACACCAAATAGTGTATTCAATGTACATTTTGTATATTAACATTGTTAAGTGATCTTGTTTGATTTTTTTCAAACCATAATTATACAACAGACCTAACTTGGGTATGATTTCTGTAATTTGCTTTTGAAAATTGGCTGGGCTGAGGGTTTACCCAAGTAGTAGAGTACGAGCTACGCAAGAGGCCTGGATTCAATCTCCAGCACTAAAAAAAGGGAAAGGAATAAAAGATCATTATTATCAACTTTTTTAAAAAGCGAGCCAGTAATAGTGATTGTAAGGACTGTGTGTTTCATAATTTTGACATGGTCATCTTGTTTTTAATTAGCTCTTCAGGTTCGTACTTAAGGAGCCCTAACTTTCTTCTGAAGAACTGAAAGTCCATTCATGTGAACTATTTTATTTTATCATACATCCTTCCTGTGTGGTAAGTGGTGTTTTCTTTATTTAGAAGAAAGGGATACTGAGACCGAAGTAATTGTTACATCTAGAGTCATAACAGAGGTGGAAACAGAAATTGGTCCTAAAAATGTAGAAATTTGGATTTATCACTAGGCAGCTATACTTTTCATCTTGGTAGCAGAATAAAAAGCCAGCAAAAGCTAAGTAGGGCCGTACCCCCTTATTCCAGTCATCATAGAGACTGTTAATTCTTATTTCACACTTTTGGATCTAAGGCGTATAACATTTCAGATACACGGTTTCAGAAGACACATTGGTTCAAGGCATTCTTTCTTACCTAGGTACTAAATCACTTCTGTCCAGCCTGTCCATGCTATGTAGCCACTTGTTCCTTACCAGCACTCTGGGTTATCAGATTGGCTGGCAAGGCATCAAAGCGTTTGTGTTCACACCCCATTATATGGCAGCGTTAGACTACATCAGTCACCTCACTTCATCCCAACATAGAGAACTTATAGCATCATAGAACAGTGAGTACAGTAGGATAAGGTTCTGTGAGAGATAGCTTTTATTATGGTATATTGTTAAACTGCAGTCATTGTTAACCTCTTACTGTTTATCATAGGAAAATACAAAAATAGAAAAAAAGGTAATTTATGTGTATATCCTTAATTTCAGGCATACACTGGGGGATTTGGAACATTTCCCTTAACAAAAAAAAAAGCACTACTGTATGTGTTCACAGAAAAACATGGATAGAACTTTCATGGCAGCTTTATTCATGTTAGTTAAAACTGAATAGAATAAGAATTAAGTGGTACATTTGAAGTGGGATAGTCAGCAATAAAAAGCCATGAACCATTGATACACGAAGTGATAACGGGTGAATCTCAAATATAGTATGCAGAGTGAGAGAAATTATATACAAAAATGTTATTACATCTTTTCCAGTTACATGTGAACCTTAAAGACAATTTGAGCATACCTAACATGAAAGTCCAAGATCTAAAGTACTACAGCATTCAGAAATTCAGCACAAACCCGAGGCCACAAGGGGAAAATTCAGACACGCATGCAAATATTCCAAAGTCTGAAACACAGTTCCACACTTTTCCAATGAGGCACACTCACCTGTATCATAGAACTCAGCAGTTCAAGTTTTGAGACCAGGAAAGACACTGAGAGCTGCTGAGTGTGAAGCAGCTTTGTCTTCTGATAAACACTCCACAGAGTGTGCCTCAGTGTTACACATCTTAACTGGGATAAAAGGGAAATGCAAGCAGATTACAGAATTCCAGGAAATAATGACAATGAAAATATACGTTAAATTCTGTGGAACACATTTAAAGCAGTAAGCAGAGGAAAATTTGTAGCCCTAAACATTTGTTACAATAAAAATCTTAACTCAGAAATAAAAATAAAAGCCAAAAATAAACACAGAAAAGGAGATAGTAAAGGTAAAAGCAGAAGCTAACAGAAAAACTATCTAATTGATGAATCTGTCCTGGGTCTTTGGGAGAAAATTGACAAGATAAACTACTAGTTAATTTAACCTGTGAGAAAAAAGAAAAGGTATAAAGCCAAGGGGAATTCAGCCTGAAAGAATAGATATTCCCACGACACATGAATATAAAACAAGTAAAAACAGTTACAGAACAGTAATAATGATTTCTAAATCTGCCAGGGAGCCCAAAGAAATAAAAGTTACTGGAAAAGGGTACTTAATATCATTATGAAACCCTAAATATTATGCAGACTCTCATACCATGTTAAGGAAATACATCTTAATAAAATGAGAGTTATACTAAGAATACAAGGGTGAGTATTTGGAAATTTTATATAATTTATCTTATTAATAGGTCCAAAAAGAAAGATTTTAGATCAGAAAAAGTCTGATAAAATTAAAACTTAGAAAAAACAGGAGTGGATAAATACTTCTTTGATGACATTTTACTTTAATAAATACCCTAACCCTAAAACCATAATCTGTCCACACCACCCCAGTACTAAAAATCCAACCCACACACTAGACAAACACTCTGTCACTGAGCCACAGCTCCAACCAGAGTTAACATCCTTAATAGAAAGATCAGGCACAAAGTAGGATGCTCCTGAGCATATACAGATGGAAAATCAAAAACAGTTACAGACATAATGGAAAAAGATACAATTTGCTTTATTGATAACATGATTATCTGAAAAGCCTTGAAAAGTCAATAGCAAGATTATCTCAGAATAATTGAATGAGGACTGCTGGGCATGGTGGTGCACACCTGTAATCCTAGTACGTAGGGGGCTGAGGCAGGAGGATCACTGCACGTTTGAGAGGAAGCTGGGCTACAAAGTGAGCTCAAGGCCAGCCTGAACTACATAGAAAGACTGTCTCAAAAAGACAAAATAAAAATACTCAAGTGAGGCCAGAAGTGATGGCTCATGCCTGTCATCCCAACGCTGAGGCTGAGGCAGGAAGACCGCCATGAGTTCAAGGCCCCTTTGAGTTACATAGTGAAACCCTCTTTCCAAAAACAGTAACACTTTTTTAAAACAGTACTAATTGAGAAAGAACATAAAATAATTTGTACATAAAACACCAATAGATGCAACAAAAGAGTCACATTTACAACAGAAACAACAAAGTACCTTTAATTCTTAAGGATTCACTTTTTAACAAGAACATTTAAAAAACCAAGTGTAGCTGGGCATGGTGGCATCTGCTGATGACCTCAGCATTCTGAGAAGGTGAGGCAGGAGAAAGCATGTTTCACCCCAAGCATTTTAGGAATTAGTTGTCCTTGTCTCGAAACTTTAAAAAAGGATTGGAGATACAACTTGATGTGGAGGTTCTGAGTTCAATCCCTAGTACATGGTTAAAATTTTAAAAAAGGCCAGTTAGCTCAGGGGCCAAAGCACCTGCCTGGCAAGGGCGAGGTCCTAAGTTTGATCCCTGGAGAAGCAAAGGTAAATATTCCTAAAAGACAGATAGGACACGTGGAAAGACATCCATTGCTCTTGATTGGCATTTCAATGTCAGATTGTCATTTCTTTCTAAATTAATAAACAATGATATCCCAATCCCAGTTAAAAAAAAATTTTTTTTTTTTTTTTGGTGTAAAACTGAACAAATTATCTTTCCACAGGGGCCACACTAATCTCTGTATTGTTGCAGTTTTACCATATGGGCTGCAGATGACAAATTCCAGAAGTGTTCCTCTTTTTTTTTTAATCTAGAGAAATAATACTCCATAAAGGTATTTTGCTGGAAAAAAAAAGTCACTCAACTTACAAAAATTCCCAGAATTGTTACATTAGAAATATTGTATGTTTAAAATCTTAGCGAGGTAATCAGAGGTGGTGATGCGCACCTCTAATCCTAGCACTTGAGAGGGTGAAGCTGAAGGATCATCATGAGTTCGAAGCCAGTCTGCTACATAGTGAGTTCAGAAAGCAGCCTAAACTGGGTAACAAGACCCTGTCTCAAAAACAAACAAAAGAGGAGATTTAAATTTTAGAGTATGAGAGAAGAAATTAAGTGAATCTTTTGTATACCTATTACAGTGGTATTTAATTTATAGTTAATGGCATTAAAAATATCTTCATTACAATTAAAAGATTTCTTAATTTTTTTCCTAATTCATTATTTTAAAAATACTAATTATTGGGGGCTGGGGTTTTAGCTCACCGACATAAGCGCTTGCCTTGCAAGCAGGCAGTCGTGAGTTCTATCCCCAGTACCGATAAAAAGGAAAAAGAAAAAAAAAATACTAATTATTTGGGAAAATAAAAATATTAGATCTTTGAGGTGACTCAAATCTTAGCAGATATCAAAATACCCTAGAAAAACTAATTATAAAAAGAAATTTGACACATGACTGGCCAAACATAAAATACAGCCGTGTGCCTCACAGCAAGGTGAGGTTTTTGTTTAGTTTTCCTGTGGTTCTTTGCTTGCATAGAGCTGGGAATTGAACCCAGGGCCTCACACTTGGTATAGGCATCTACTACACCACTGAGCTCAGCCAGCCCTGCAACAGCATTTAATCGGGTGAACCACACACACAACAGTTATCCTAACAGATTCTAGTGGTACAGAGGAGCTCATGCCATCTGCTGACTTAGCTGTGGCCATCACGGTGTGGCAGCACAGTGTTCTATGTGTTTCTGGTGACCCTGGTGTAACAAACATGCTGTGCACACATGATTCTATGTAGCACCCAACCTCTGACAATAAATGACTGTGCCTGCATTGTGTATTCTTCTTTATCATTGTTTTAGTATCTTCCTTGGCAGCTTAATGTGAACAGTATGCCGTGTTGCCGCAGCAGCAGCAGCAGCAGCCTCACACACCTTGTTTCACTCTGTCTTGGATTGCGTTACATCCTTGTGTACTTGAGTTAAGTTTCATGTTTTTCTTATCATGGCCTTGCTATCCACTACCTGGAAATGAAAACTAAAGATTACAAAGGTGGAAGATCAGTGATGGTTTCTGCTCGACATTCAGGCATATCCCATTCTACTATAGCCAGAGCTTGAAGAATGAGAACAAAACTGATAAAGGATCTGTTTCATTGAAGGTTACAAGACTAAAATTCAAGAAGGGCCAGGAGTAGATGGGGAGAAACTTACGGTGATCTGGATTGAAGACCATACACAGAAGCGTAGCCCTTTCCACACCACATGGTCACAGCCAAAGCAAAGCTTGTGCCGTTGGAAGAAAAGACTTGATCTGACCACACTGTTACCTTTACAGCTTCCTCTAAGTGGTTTAAACAATTGAACTGTTATGCATTACATAATGGGAAACAGTGGTGGGTACAAATGTGCTGGCATGAAGGCACCTGAAGGACTTTTGGAAACTGCATGAGCTGATGGTGGAGAAAAATTCCCGGCCAGCCTGGAGAGCCCTGGGCTGTACAGTGCAGCCTTGATGTGCAGTTAGCTGAGCCATCTATAATAGTGCAAGTACACTGTGGTGCCCTGCCTGTGACAAAACCATCTGAACAAAGTGGTATCTGTCATTGAGATACT